AGTCTACAGAAACGCAGACTAGCTCTGATACCAAACTATAAAGCCCCACTTTTATTTGCCGAAAATCAGAATAAATTTTTCAAATTTATTCCAAAATCATTTGAGGCGCTACTCATTTTCAAATCAATAATCAATACTTATCAATCATCAATACTCAATCCTCAGTACTCAGTTATCAATAATCAATAATCCAACACTAGTTCAGATCAATAATTAATAACCAATCCAATTATCCAATACTCATATAATCCTAGGGAATACATTCCCTATCAATTATCCAGTAATCAGTAAGACAATAATAACAATAATTCAATTTCAAGCAGAAGCAATAACAATTTTTGTGACCACCACTCGCTTCCCTCCACCGTGCCCGCCATACTAACCTGCATCCATGAAGAGCAGGTGGGGATGAGCACAAGAGGAAACAGTAGTGCTCACCACTATGCAGTAAATGTTAGTCTCAATAATAAACAGTAATCAATAATCGAAAGGTATGGTCTCAGCATGTATACGAAGCAATAATCTATCCAATTCTCCCATCAATAATCACAATAATCAGACTTATGTGCACACCTACGCATAGACTACTGCTGATACTCGATTCAAACGCCAAGACCTACGCCTTGGTCTTACAACGATGCCCAACCAGTAGCAGTAAACCACCCCGCCAGCCAAAACGTACGAATTGGTCTTACAATCGGGGATCACCAGCCAGAATCCACGTGTAACGCCCCACTTTTAATAGACAAAATTCAGAATAAATTTTTCAAAATTTATTTCATTACATGAGGCGTTACTCATTTTCAAAAGCGATTTTCAATAATCAACATTAATCGCAATTTTCAATCATCAATCATCATTCCTCATTTAGACAATCATAAATCCTCAAAAGGAATTAAGGAGCATCTCCTTAATAATAGTTCAATTCTCAATAATCCAATATCCATTATTCCAAAACGAAATAATATCATAAGACAATTCAATAGGCGGAAGCAACATTCAATTATAGACCACCACTCGCCTCCCTCTGTCGTGCCCGCAATACTAACCTGCATCCATGAAGAGCAGGTGGGGATGAGCACAAGAGGAACAGTAGTGCTCACCACTATGCAGTAAATGTTATTTACAATAATGAAACAGTAATCAATAATCAAAAGGTATGGTCTCAGCATGTATACGATCAATAATCTATCCCATTCTCCCATCAATAATCACAATAATCAAACTCATGTGCACACCTATGCATAGACTACTGCTGATACACGATTCGAATGCCAAGACCTACGACTTGGTCTTACAACGATGCCCAGCCAGTAGGAGTAAACCACCTCGCCGGCCAAAACCTACGAATTGGTCTTACAATCGGGGATCACCAGCCAGAACCTATGCCTTGGTCTTACGGCTCTCAAGGTAGACTACCCAACGGGTACATTCTATAGCTACGGGGATAACC